CTAGTCCGATTATGAGTCCCGGGATTAATGCTTTAACCCCTCCCAAAAATGGCGTTGGGAGGATCGAACACATACTCTCAATCCCACCTGCTTAGTCCTTGACGCCAACTGAACTACCTTCATTTGGTGTCGACGTCATATCTTGTAAATATTGTCATCATGTAAGAATTATGTTAGGAAAAAATATATAAGATTAATTATTAATAGTTCATTAATCATTAAGTAATTTTCACTCAACATTATTTCATAATTAATTTAATAATTAACAGTAATATTAAATATATTTAAATATACAAAAAAGGTTAAATTAATATTTTTTAAATATTCTTTGCATTAGAACATGCAAAAATAGGGATAAAAAATAATAAAAATAATAAATAAGTAAAAAATAATTAATGGGTATTATATTAATGTATTTTTATTTTTCTCTATTTAATATTGATAAATATAATAAAATATACATTTTTATAATTTATTAAAAATTAATGCACTTTTGGTTTCCATTTGTCTAAAAATTTTAGAAAACTACCTATAATTTTTTTTTAGAATTTTAAAATAAAAATCAAGAAATATATAAGTGAGAGAAATGTAAATTTAATAAAATAAATATACATAAAATAATAAATAAAAATTTGGAAAAATAAAGATTTAGAAACAAATGTAATATATTCTAGTGGAAAAACTCTTTATATATATATATATATATGGTCAGATCATTTTACACCAGTATAAGTTACACTCCCAATCTTGACCATTGATCTCACTTATATCTAAGGGCTCTAATTTTTTAGTAATGTGAGCCATTGGATACAAGTGGATCAATGATCAAGATTAAGTGTAAGACTTATAACTCTTATAGTGCTGGTGTAAGAATATCCTGTCCATATATATATGGGGAAGGTAATACTTAGAACCTATTTTCTTTACAACCTCTTACAAGCATATATCTTAACCGTTGATTTCCGTCAATCAACGGTTAAGATTTTTGCAACTTAAATTTATTAATTAATTATTAAATCACAATAAATGATAACCGTTGATTGGCGGAAATCAACGGTTAAGATATATGCTTGTAAGAGGTTGTAAAGAAAATAGGTTGTAAGTATAACATTCCACTATATATATATATATATATAATTTTCGAACAAGGCAAAAGCATGAACAGATTAATCTCATATTTAATGTCTACCAAAAAAAATCTCATATTTAATGGAAGTGGGGATACCTTGTGATCTTTCCTATTATATACTATGAGAAGATGTGCATGTGGTAATATTCACAAATATCTAATGGAAGGAAACATTTCTAGCAGATTTTTTCTCGGTCTTCAGCGAAGTATTTTTTTTTAATAGAAATCTGCAAAGTATTTGATGGAAAATACTTTTTCCTTGACCTCGATCAGTAATTGTTGAAAGTTTTCGACCAATAATTTGGCCAGAAATATTTCTAGCGGATTTGAATCTATTTATTTATTTTAATTGAAAAACCTTTGAAATCTGAATTAACCGTACACCTTAATTGATGGAAACTTTTGGCAGAAAAATATGTAAGAAAAGTACATATAATTTTTTGGCGGATTTTCCACCGATAATTAGATTCTATATTTTACAAGATCAATGTTTTCAATTATTTTTTGACAAAAAATTGTCTTTTGTGTTTGGAAAAAATGTGTATTATTTTAAAAGATATAAATAAAGTTATATAATTTTAAGTGAGAGAAAGAGATAGATCATGAGAGAGTGGGTGGAAAATTTTTTAAAGATGTGAATTCCACTTTTTTGTGAGTGCGAAATAACACAAGATGTGTCATTTAATATGACTAATCTTTTTCCTATATTTTTACACTAATATGAACAATTTTCTATGTCATTTTCGGTGAGTTGATTCATTGGAAATTCTAAAATGTATTTTTTACATAAATCACAATTTTCGCTCAAATTAAAAAAAATTTCCAACCTCCCTGTCTGAAAAAATCCAACTGTAAGATGCGAAATTTTAGTGACATAATATGGATCAAAAAGAGTATTTAATATTAAACATATTAATTGCTTATCAAAGGCTTAAAAATTGTATGTGCCTAAAATTTTGGGTATTGATGAAAAATAGAGGAGTGAAAGAGCGACACTTGAAAATAAAAAGTTAAAGAATGATAATATGCTTAATAGGGTGATCATTATACAAATTTCAACTTTAATATCTTACTCCATTAAGTTTTATTTGCCTTTCTCATTATGTGCTTAATAAATTACATCAATCTATGTTCTTTTATCAGCCACTCACAGTACTCCTATCTTACATCGAATATCTTCATTTCTTATCTTATTCTCGTTTAAAAAAAACAAAATTAATTAATATGTCAATTTAATATATTAATTTATATATGAAAAAAAGGTTCATCTGATCTTACAAAGGTTTTGTTATAAAATCTAATGCTAAAAAAGTGAAAATCAATACACACACATACATACATATATGTGTGTGTGTAATTTTTCTTTAATGTCACTCATGCCAATTGGAAATTGTATGAAAAAAGAGAGTAATTTTTAGTCATATCTCATTTTTCTAAACCAAATACTATTAATTAACATAAAAAAATCCATTTTCAAATTGAGACAATTCTTTTTCCTTTTTTTTGCTTATTTTTTTACAAATTCTAGCCTCCGATACTTGTATATTGATTGATTACCTTATCTCTTGACTGGACCAGGGTAGCATCTTCATTGTCACTGACTTAAAATGTATAATTTCATAGCAGAGATGTCTCTATCATGTTCCTCATTACTCCATTGACTTTCTTCCACTCATAGAGTGATCCCTTCAAAGTTCAAATCTCTTAAACTTTTACTCAACCCATCAATTTTAATTTCTAGACCGTTCATTCTTGGTTTCAAAATACTCATTTGCCAGAGAAAGTTTAATTTCATGGCAACATTATCTGTTTCGTAGCTAAAGGGGGACACTACAGTTTTTTTTTTTTTTGGTGAATAGACACTCTACAACTTAGGCTGACCATTAATTTGCACTCTTGAAACCATGCATTAGACAATGAATAACATATTATAATCAGAGTTTGGCTCATAAGAAGCTTTTTTATGTATTTTTAATTACTTTATTTTCAACACATAAGAAAAGCTAAACTTTTTTTTTTTTTTTTTAATTTCTCCCTCAGTTTATTGGTTATTCAACTAATTCATTTGAGTCGGGTACAATTATAGAGACGACAAAACTCTGTTTATCAAATTTTTAATATAGTTACATACACAAAACTCAAAACTACTTATCAAACTAGAATAAACTCATACCAATTAATCCACTTGTTTGGTGATACACTTTTAGAATTTCAACTCCTCCTAAACTCACCCATATATAACTTACGTACATATGGAATGAGAAAAACTACTTTAAGTATTCAATGTCTGTTTGCGAAGTCTTATTTTTAGCTTATTTATTCTTGTAAGTAAAAGTTTAGCTAAATATATTTTGCCATAAACTCTTATTATTATAAAAAGAGCTTTTTTATTATAATGAATAAAAAAAGCAAAAGCTAAAAATTTCTAAGAGAAGCTTTTTCTAAGATATATATTATATAACTCTTTAGACCTCTTATATTTATTTTCTAGTTTCATCTTTATTCCAAATTTGTATTTATCAATTTAACTCTATACTCTAATAATTAATCCTAATAACAAATCATTTCATCTTTCCTCCTTCAAAATCCTCAAAACAACTTTATATAATCACCAAATCACTTTTAGCTTTATTTTTTAAGTGTTTATTTATCTATTTATCTTTTGCTTAAAAACAATTTATAACTTAAAAATTGTGTTAAACAGGTTCTAAGTGCACACAATCAAGAAGGAATATTCCGGATGCTTCAATAATTTCTCAAATAGTAATAATAGTATAATAAATGGGAATAGTAACTAAAAACAAACATAGCTTACGAACGAATCTTAATCTACAAAGAACTAAAAAATATCCAAGTTAGGCTACATTTTTTTTTCTTTTACGTGTTCTTTTCACCAATCTTTCTGAAGTTACAGGTCTATCTACCCTCTATAGTGTTTGAATCTACCAAGGTTTATTCTCTTTCGGTGGGTGAAAATAAGCCAAAAGAATAAAAACCATTCTACACTTACTGAAGAACACGTTGCAATGAGTTGAGGTTTGAGCAGTGGTGAAGCTATTCCTATTTTGCCAACGTAACTTTGACTTTAGCTCAAACCAACACCCAAGGCATAAATAATTATTCAAATTCCGCCATAAATGAGAAGGGGTAGGTCAACTCTGAAACTGTGATGAATCCTAGAATTGTTGTTGCTTTTGTTATTTTTTTATAATTTTATAATTTTCCACTAAGTTTTGCAGGGAGTGGAAATTCAGAGAGATAAATAAGAAGACAGTTCACCCACGTAAATGCTATAAATTGTTGGTTAGTTGCTCACCAGAACCATATCCAAACCCCACTTGGCAACACCCAATCTTTTTTTTTTTTTTCACGAAAGTATATAATTTTGATAAGAGATTAACGTTTCCCTTGTTACGTAGAAATAAATATGGGAAAATATACTCTTATGTTGTTGTTGAAGAGTATTTTTCTCTCCTAAACATACATCGATTTTCGTGTTGTGTTATTTGTTTTTTTATAAGTGAGTGAGTCCCACACATAACTATCTTTATGATATGAAAGAGCTTCTCTTATGTTGCATGAGATTAATAAAGCGTAATAACAATATATGGGGTTTATGTGAAAAGAAGAAAGATAAAAAGAAAATATGAGTCACACGTATTTATATATATATATATATATATAAGATATAAATTTATATAATAATATATAAACTCCTTTTATAAATAGATGAACACATTGGTTCATAAAAAGAGCCATTTGGTTAAAAAAGCAGTGTGCGTGACCCCAAAAAACTTTGTGGTTTTTCTGTTTGGTCATTTTCCTTGGGGGTTTCCCCTCTCCATGTTCCTCAACCACTCTCATTTATTTCTCTTCATTGATTATCTGCCAGACTTGAACACCCTGTTGCGACTCCTGTATATTTTGGTGTAAGAAACAAAGAGAGAGAGAGAGAGAGAGAGAGAGAGAGAGAGAGAGAGGTGAGTATGTTCTTCACCTTAAAAGGTCTCAACAACCCTTTCCGAAACATTTATAATGGTGTTTAGTAAGAGTGAGAAACATGTCTATGAAACCAGTCTGGCCATAATAACTGCTTCACCTATAAATCTATCTCTTCTCCCATAAAACATTATCATTGATACTACACTACACTCACTAGTATTACTCAACTCTTTTTCCTAACATAACCTCTTCTTTCTTCACTTTTTTCTTCCCTCCAAGGATTCTCCATTTTCTCAAACTCATACACACAAAACCCTTTTCATGAAAATGCTTCTCAGTCTGATTTATTCTTAAAGGTACGTTCTTTTCTCATTTTCCCAGTGCCCACCATTTTATTTTTTTTCTCGGGAAAACAAGATAATTTTCCGAGAAAAAAAGGAGACAGGAAATTTATTTTTATTTTTTTGTTTCTTGTAGCTTTGAGTATTTGATTCTTCGTTTGACAACGTCTGTGCAAATCAAAAAATGGAAACTTGTACGGCTCTATTGCTTTTAACGGCGATCACAGCATACTTACTATGGTTTACGTTCATCTCACGGTCTCTGAGAGGTCCACGTGTCTGGCCCTTATTGGGCAGTCTCCCGGGCTTAATCGAGAATTGTGAACGCATGCATGACTGGATCTGCGACAACCTCCGCGCGTGTGGCGGCACGTACCAGACCTGCATCTGTGCAATCCCTTTCCTAGCTAAGAAGCAGGGTCTCGTGACTGTCACGTGTGACCCGAGGAACTTGGAGCATATACTCAAAACCCGGTTCGACAATTACCCCAAGGGTCCCACTTGGCATGCTGTTTTTCATGATCTGTTGGGTGATGGGATCTTTAACTCTGATGGTGACACGTGGCTGTTTCAGCGTAAGACTGCCGCACTGGAATTCACCACCCGGACACTGCGGCAAGCCATGGCTCGCTGGGTGACTCGAGCCATCAAGGACCGGCTTTGCCTTATCCTCAAGAAAGCCGAACTCGAAGCCGAGCCGGTTGATTTACAAGACTTGATGCTTCGGCTCACATTTGACAACATTTGTGGCTTGGCTTTTGGGAGGGACCCACAAACCTGTGCATCGGGGTTGCCGGAGAATGGCTTTGCCATCGCATTCGACCGAGCTACTGAAGCCTCGCTCCAACGGTTCATATTGCCGGAGGTGTTATGGAAAATGAAGAAATGGCTTGGGCTTGGGCTTGAAGTCAGCTTGAGCCGAAGCCTTGTCCACGTGGACAATCATCTCTCAAGTGTTATTGAGAAACGCAAGGTGGAATTGCTGAGTCAGCAAAACGATGGGACAACATTACACGATGACTTGTTGACTAGGTTTATGAAGAAAAAGGAATCTTATTCTGATAAGTTTCTTCAACATGTGGCATTAAATTTCATCCTAGCTGGACGTGACACGTCATCAGTGGCGTTGAGCTGGTTTTTCTGGTTGGTGATTCAGAATCCAAGGGTGGAGGAGAAGATCCTACGTGAGATTTGCACGGTCTTGATGGAAACACGTGGCGATGACATGGCTAAGTGGTTGGTTGAGCCATTGGTGTTTGAGGAAGTTGACCGTTTGGTTTATCTAAAGGCTGCATTGTCTGAGACACTAAGGTTGTACCCTTCGGTGCCGGAGGATTCAAAGCATGTTGTTGCCGACGATATTTTGCCGGACGGCACGTTCGTGCCGGCCGGATCATCGGTGACGTATTCGATATATTCGGCGGGGAGGTTGAGATCAACATGGGGTGAGGATTGCATGGAGTTTAGGCCTGAAAGGTGGTTGTCATTGGATGGGAAAAAATTCATGATGCATGATTCTTTCAAATTTGTTGCATTCAATGCTGGTCCAAGGATATGTTTGGGGAAGGATTTGGCATACCTACAGATGAAGTCCATCGCCGCTGCGGTCCTGCTCCGCCACCGGCTTGTGGTGGTGCCTGGCCATTTGGTAGAGCAAAAGATGTCACTCACATTGTTCATGAAAAATGGGCTGAAGGTAAATGTGCATGAAAGGGATTTGAGGGGGATTTTGAAAAGTATACAAAAAGAAAAGGGAGAGTCTATAGGTTTGATTTGCAATGGAAATTGAGTTCACTGGATGGAGCAGAGGCTATTAGAGATTTTAGCATGTGGATTCAAGTTCAAAGGAGGATAATTAGGCCAATGGTGATTTAACTTAAAGAACAAGAGAGAACATAATTTCCTTTATATAAGAAAATAGGGTATATTCATGGTATGTTATAAATTTATAATTCATATGAGAATTGTGTATGGATTTCTTTTTTTATTTTTTTATTTTCATTTTATGATCGTGGGGTGGATGAATGCTTTATCAATCCATCTCTTCCTTGTAGAAGAATCCTCGCAAATATTCAATTGTATTCTTTATTTCTTGTATGATTTGATAGTTCTGTTCTATTTGATTTTACTGGTTTCAAGACATTGTGAAAGAGCTAAACTCACGTTGAAGTGTGTTGAATGTTGATGTTCATCAAAGAATGCCTTGCGTTTTATGAATGTTTAATGATCGGATTTGACTGTCCTGTATGATGCTTTAGTGGTGAACTCACAAAATCTGCAAAATCCAACTGTATAGCTCATGCTTCGCATATGTTAGATATATGAAATGCACAAATTAAATAAATGGTAAAAGTAGATATATGAAAGCCTTTGGTAAGGGACATTGAATCAGAAAGAAACTATGCTATCTATTTTTTCGGCCAGGTATGATGAGGCAGAGTTAGTCAAATAACATGTATTTTAAGCATAAGTATGCTAAAATGAAGTTATATAGGTGGAAACTACCCATCAATTATCTATACAGAAAGCATTTATATCATGTTACAAGGCATTTGCAAAATGTGCCGAGTTAATCCAAGATTGCTGGAGATAATACAAAGGCAAAAACTTCGATGGTGGCTCTCTACCATTTCGGAATGGTGCTTTTAGGTTTCCAAGTGCTTTGACATTTTGGACATCTGATTTTTGTTCCATCCATTTTTTTTTTCTTTTTCTAAATCTCTATAGCTTATATAGCCTACACCTTGACATCATTACATTCTTCAGTCAAGAATCTTCTCTCCAGTTGAAAAGATATTCCAGACTAATGTGCCTATAATGTACAATGCAACAGCAACCTTAAATACATCATCCCAAGAACCTGCAACAACATATCACTTTTAAGTGAATGGCCACGACCAAAAAGAAAAAAAAGGGTTTAGAATGCAAGTGGAGCATTCTCACCTCGTTGGAGTATGTATCCAGTTGCAGCTGTACCAAAGACCCCAGCAAGCACTCCTGCAGTATTTGACAGTCCCAGCAATACTCCCTAAAATTTAAAATAGTTAATATTCTTATGGATACATACTGAATGAAAAAATAAAACTAGAACAAACTTGTATAATGGAAAACATTCGTCTCAGGATTTCATGCACTCAGATAGAGACATCTTGAATGAATAAATAAATCGACAAAAGTAACTTGTATAAGATACTGATGATCAAGAAGTTAACAGAACTCAGTGAATGACTTCACCAATCATGAAACAAATTAGAGGTGGAATAGATTTTGAAGTGATAATAGCCTTATTGACACTTTTTCCTGGAAATTTTAAAGTGGAACGATTTTGGCATCAGTGCTACAGATTAGAGTGTCACCAAAATCCTCTAAGGTTCAGCTCACAAGTGTAACCAAATACAACTCAAGCAAGGAGACTATTTCAGTCTTTAGTGTTTAGCATGATCAGCCACTTTGTTTCTGGTTTGTTGGCATCTTTTATTTTATTAAAAAAATGTTTGAAATACTCTTTAGTGTATTTTTCACAGTTTATTGATAATGGTACATGAAAATTAAAATCACAATAACTCACAGCATAGCGTGGACCAATGTCTTGGTGATTGGAATATAGACCAGATTGTGAGAATGCATCAGATCCCTGTGAAGGAAATAATAGATTAAGGTTTATATTAGGTAACTTTTCATACATTTAAAACCTACACAAACAGGTTTTAATAGGCATCTATGCTTTATAATCAGTATGAAACTTAATTAGAGTATAAAAAGTAAATCAAAGATTGAGGAATCTAGAATTCAGGAAGTCTAGCTCAAACCTGACTGCAAGCCATGCACAGTACTGCCATGGCCGGTGTTCTCACATGGCTAAGCTGTGTAAGAAAAAATGCAGGACCCAGAAACCCAATTGATTGCATGATCTGCCAAAATAGGAAATATTTAAAGCAAAATCATTTGAAAGGATGCAAAAAGGAAAATGAATCAGTCCATGTCTCTACTGCCTTTACTCAATGATTTATTGATTGAAATAAAAAATCCATTAAGAGCAATTTTTTTATTAATCAAGATCAGCTTCCACTTTAGGCAGTTAATTGCAATCTAGGTGAAAAAAAAAAAAAAAAAAAAAACTATTGTGCGTAAAAATTATTATAATTGTACAGGAATTGACAATTTTAGTTTTAAAGGTAGTGATTTTCTTGCCTTTCGAACAGCTGTTATGGAAAGACCTTTGCTCACAAGTGTATCTGCAATCCAGCCTCCTATATTTGCAAAAATAGCCATGGTTAACCATGGCAGGACACATAAGAGCCCAGATTCAGTGAGGTTGAACTTCAGAACCTGAGAAAATAACCCATTAGTTTATTCATTAAATGGACTAAATATTTCACGCAACTCTTTCTTTCTGTTTATCTATATTTGATTAATCACCTCACCATTCAAGTTGTATCAAGACAAATATCACATTCTAGTGTCTCTATGTCTACCTAATTTTATAATATCAGCAGTTAAGTGAAGCAAAATTTACTTCACTCATGTTTAGAGTAATTACCAAGAAATACAAATAGCAGTATGCTCAAGTTTGACACAATAGAGAACAAAAGGTAAGATGTACTTCAACATCAAAGAGTTCCAAATAACAAACAACAAAATCTTTGGACAAAATTATGCAGCCAATTAAAGTGTAACTTGATTGAAAACAATGGGGAATGTAAAGTACAAAATCCTTCAAGTTTCATGCATATAGAAGCAGAATTATGAGGACAGTTGGATGAGTATCCTCCACCTCCACGGGTGGAAAAATTCTCCATTTTAGTTGATCTACAGATAAAAAATATAATCACTCCCCGTTAAACCCCAACTAGCGATGGTGGAGTGATGATAATACTTGTACGCAGCCTTACTCTTGCATAATTGCAAAAGGTTATTTCCCGGATTCGAACCCGAGACCTTTGAGTCACAAAGGAACAACTTTATCACTGTTCGAGACTCACCCTCTTATATATAGATTAAAAAATAGAGTAAATACCATTTTGCGTCCCTAACAAAAGTCACGGTTCCCACTTTAGTCCTTTACAAAAAAAAATTAGTTTCGAGATCCCTAAGAGATTCAAAGTGGACCCATTTAGTTGAAATCATGGTCCCTCACAAATTCAAAAAAAACCCACATTAGTCCTTCAAAAGGACTAAAATGGGTCCACTTTGAATTTCTTAGGGACCTCGAGACTAATTTTTTTTTGTAAGGGACTAAAGTGGGGATCATATTTTTTGTTAGGGAGCCAAGAGGGTATTTACTCTAAAAAATATCTAAGCTATAAATTATGTATATAAGCACTGTGGCTCCACTCCTGCTTGTAAAGATTTCAGCTATTATAGAAAGTATCATCAAGGATATGTATATTCATAAATGCTGAATACCAACAAAAAAAAAAATTAAAAATAATTAAACAGGTAAGTACCTGATTGTAGTATGTAGGCATCCAGGTTAATAGAATAAATGTTCCCCAATTGTGGCAGAAGTGAGAGATTATTAAAGCCCAGACAGGTGCTTTTGATAAAATTAATTTCCAAGGAATAGTTGACACAGGTTCTCTTGATACGCTGCCTCCAAATATGAGCCTTTTCTCTTCTTCCCCAAGATCTGGGTCATCTTTTGGGGAGCTGTATGCCTGAAAGGGTCAAAAAGAAGGTATAGGATATGAGAATCAACCTGCTCAGAAGGAACTACTAGGTCCCCTCACATTTATAATTGTCATGGTTGTTGCTACAGAATAAAATTCCATAAGGTATTGTGCAAGATAACTGATTTACTCATATATATCCAGTCAATGGTACATTCATTGATCCTTACTTGCATAAATATAATATTGAAGTCATATGTTATGCAACACTTCATGAGACAGTCCCTTAACAAATCAGCAGAAAACGTGAAAATATATTTCATAGGGTTGGCAGAGGACAAATGCTTGATTTCCTCTCAACATTTTTTCCAATCAGGAGCCGATACATAAAGTAAATTTCATTGAAATTTATGTTAAAGCTGACTTACTTTTCTCAACCATAAGGCAAACCAGATACTTCCAAGGGAACCAAATGAGTAAAACACAGATGGCCACCCAAATTTGTGGATTAGCATAGGTGAGACCGCCAAGCCTGTGACGGAACCAAGGTACATGCCACTATATACTAGAGCAAGTGATCTGCTTCTCTCTGATACTGGAATCCACTTGGAAAGTATATTATTCATCGCAGGCATGGCAACACCCTGAAAACAAAGAATTCGCATGATTTATTGTAAAATTATTGGAGAAAAAATCATTTCTACGTTCGGCACAGAATTTGAATAATAAACCAATCAAAATGTGAAAATATCTTTCATTTGATTGTATTATTTGTCACAACTAATGAAATGAGGGAGAAATTATATAGACCATAATTTTCATCTATCTTATATCAACTATATATCGTTCTAAATCACTTTCACTACCTGTTTAAAGGTAGAAAAACAAAACAACTAACTATGCTCTCAAGTTATATTCCAAGTTCTTCTGGCTTATTGGCTAGATGAATAGAAGCAATCATTTCTACCTGAAATTCCAGGTAAAACTGGCAATTCCAACTACATATTTCATTTTGTAGCAAAGAAAAATGGACAAATGACCATATGAATTTAATTACAGACACGAGATAAATGAAGTCATAAAAGGTAGTATAGCTATAGAATGGACAAACCTCGCCAATTCCCATAAAGGCACGCACAATAAGCAGACATGGCAGCCCAAGTCTTGCAGCAATAGGTGTTAAAACTGTTGCAATTGACCACCAGACAACTCCAAAACCTAGTACTAGCTTCCCACCAATTTTGTCTGCCCATATGCCACCAACGATCTAAACCGAAAAAGCATTCAGTCAGTTTAAAAGAAATGTAATTATAACTTCTTATGTGCACTGGATGAAATCAAAAAACAGTTTGAAGATCAGAAAGTGCTAGATTACTAGCATATACTATTAAGAACAGCATATGTCATGGCAGGCTTAAACAGCAGTGGTACTTGAATGCTTACTAGAAGATTAATATATCAAACAAATTTCTGGTTAAGCTACTAAGTTTTGTGTATATCAGAAACACCTGAGTAAGCAGATAACCCCAGAAAAAAGATGACTGAATTAGGCCAACTGTTGCACTGTTCCAGTTGAACTCCTGTGACATTGGAAGTATCGCTATGCTCATATTTACCTATAAAATATAATGAAATGTAAAGTATATCAGCGAGGAGCATTAGTAATTAACACTAGCTTAGTGAGAATATTGAAATTTAGAAACAATTAATTAGATACTAAAGAAATGATTGATATAATTGGACGAAAAATCTTAATAATTACTTCAAAGGTAGAATTTTGAAAACAGAAACTCAATCTCTGCAGGAATATTTCTTTTCAACAATCAACATCTACAGTTACAAAAGGTAATGTGATCGTTTCTATATTTAGTTTGCTCATAGAAAAGAGAAACGGATTAAGCTACTAGGAAAAATGATAAATTGAGCACCCTGCAGTGACAATGAATTGAATATGAGGAAAGGAATACACCTATTATAATATAAGACATAGAAAACATGAATACACAACATCAACAACAGCTTTATCCCAAACTAGTTGTGGTCCGCGACATATGAACCCAAATGAAAACATGAAATATACACATAACATGATACTTGAAACCATAAATACCAGAAAAAGTCACTCACGCGATCCATGTTACACAGCAGAAATGCTGTAAAACATAGCAGTACAATAACCCAGCGCTTAGGAAACTGCTGCCACCAAGGAGATACTTGTGTCAGATTTCCATCAAGAAGAACAGCTTCACCTGTCCCTTCAGTTGATTGCATAGGATCCATCTTTGTTTCCGCAATGTCACACTCCTCAGACTTGTAACAAACACGAAACCTATTCGCTTTACCAACCACAGGTTGTGGATGCTTCCTTCTGCTCAAACCTAGTCTATAATACACTTCCCTTTGTTCAACATTGCCACTACCATAGGAATAACTTCTTCTTATGCTGCCCTTTAGTTTTAAGTTCATGTGAAATGTTGTAATTGGTTTTGAAACTCTCTCTTCCAAAGGGGAATTAGTTTGACAATACATTCCATACAGGGAAACAGATACACCAGAAAAAGAAACTCCCTTTCTTTGAAGTGATAGATCCTTTCCTGATCTATATACATTTCCTGCCAATAATATCAAACAACGGCTAAAATTTTTCTCATATTTTACAACAGTTATCATCATAATCCAAAGCTTAGAGGACCAAAAAAAACATCTAGTATTTCTCAATAAACTATGGTCAATGTAAATAAAATAAAATAAGCATTACAAGTAGATAATTCACAAAGAGGATGTGTATTTATAAATTCCTATAACTAGTTAGTACATGTTTCAAGTAGATAATTCATAAAATGCATGCTTCCAACCAAAAATTGAAAATAAGAACATTTATAAAAATAAAAAAATTGAGTGTTGTAAACCTGAGGCAATGAAAGAACCGAAGTTGCGGTTGGAAATCAAATTACTCATAGCCATTGATGCTATGTTGATGTTTCTGATAGTGTAGAGAGAAGGGTCTCACACCATCTCAGAGTTGAAAGTTCAAAGTTGAGAAGAAGACGACGTCGTTTATAGCTAAAACTGTAGCTATGCTCTGCTCTGCTATGCTCCCTCTGTCTCAGAGAAGAAGAGGATAAGCAAAGAACAGAGACAGAGAGGTTCTTTTGTTTTCCAATGTTAAAAAACTATTTTCACATAATGTTTTATTTTTATTTTATTTTAAATATTTTTATATTTGAGGAACAAAATGTAAAATAAAAAACACGAGTGGCGTTGTAACCAATAGAAAGGGGGGTTGAGAGTGTGACACGTGGTACATCATCTTCAACACTGTGAACGTGCTGCTTTGTACGGTAGGAAGTGATTGAAAAAGTGTTTTTCTTTCATCTCTTGACTCCATAAAAGTGCAAATATTGGAATTATTATTATTATTACTATATTAGTGATTTTCATTCTAGAAAGATCTTTTGAAATTGATGGTATTTTTTATCTTCATACCTGGAATATTCTGCTCCTGACACATTGGCTATTGTCCACCGTCAAAACATTTTGTCATTTTGTTTTTGGAGATGGACGATTGAGAGAGATTTAATTCGAATGGGAAAAAAACTATCAACTTAAAAAAAAAAATTAGAAACTCTTGATATTCTTGCATTCAATTATAATCTTGGTGTTTAAAGATAATGTTCATTAAACACTAATGACATGGTCTTTAAAACTTTTGATATTTTTAATTTGGTCTTTAAATAAAAACGATATTAAATCTGTCCTTACAAATGAAATGGTTCTCGACCCATTTTGTATTCTCGTTTATAGGGTTGGTACTTGGTAGTAAATGTTATCCATTTTGCAACTATTGTTTGTTCACCTCATGCAATATTTCAAGATAGGTTATAACATAGGTATAAATACCAAATTGTTCGGTAGCGGTGTATAAAATAAGCTAACTGAACGTAACTACATTTTTTTTAATACGTTTTGAGAATTTAACTGATTCTATAAACCAATTTGAAAATTAAACCGAACTAAAAGAATTGATTCACAACCAATTCAAAACTACTTCATAACGGGTTTGCATACCCAGACTGGTTCAGGTCGACCATTCCCACCCCTACATTTTGGTGAAATATATGCCAATATGTCATACTTTCAAAAAAAAATTCTACCATGTTTAAATTCTGTTGACGTCATTAACAAACTCGCTTTTTTGCCACGTGGATAAGTGAGGTAATCTCATTGGCTCAATCTATATAATTGACCCCATTGGTCACATCTGTATGACCGGGTCATGCACACTCAACTAGCAAGATTTGTCCCCAATAGGCATGTGACAAGATGTTATTGGATCAACACCTTAGTTTATATAAACACAATTACAATAATAATTGAAGAGCTTCAAGCCATTACAATAACACAACTTGTAAACACTTACATTTATTGTTGGCCACATCTATGAGTATATAAGTGCTTAATATGACCCACAACTTTACAAAAATCACATCTACTTGAAGTTGCATATCCTTCACGTGAGTTTATTTCATTATGTATATAAGAAGCTTTGAGCGTACCCTAAGCATGTTTGAGCTTGACGTCATGAATGATAATTGATTCACCACGAGGTGGAATATATAACTCAATTCCAATAGAATACCATTCATACGAATGTGCTTGAATATGATAAGTTGTAATATATGTCAAATCTATAAATCTCATAGAATATGGATACTTGAATACGGTGAAAGTCCCATATTGACAAGTGCATTACGCTAAATCAACTATCATTGTTTGACCATCTTTATGGGTCCGGTGGTTGTATGAATCTTGTACTTCAATTGTAGTCGAGGTAGGTTCAAATAATGCATGACCACTAATTGTTGATTAATGACAAATATTTCCCCATAATTTATAACTGAAAATAATGCCTTTTAAATGTTATGATTTAGGTAAATTGTAGGATAAGGTGGAAGGGGTTAGGTGAGACGGATGGACATGATTATGCCACGCAGCTGCATCTTGTGAGTTATCCTGGATTAAGTAGTGGAATTTGAAGATTTGAGTATTAGGTAGAATGGATGGCCACGATTTTGCCACTTGGCCGAATGGGAGAAAGTCTTGCAAGCTGAGTTTGCATGATCGATCATGCAAATCGGACCAACATGACCAATCGTCCAGGCTAAGTGATACGGGCTTGCGCCAACCCAATGTTAGTGATGCAAACCAACTCGGTAACGATGTTGCAGCAAAGCCTAGGGACGAAAACATAAGGCCCATCGTGAGAAGAGGGCACCAGTGTGAAGCAAGGACTTTGTTTAGCTTAGGCTTGTAGTAATGCAAGGTAGTGCTTTTGTAATAAGTGACGTGGCATACGCTGCACATTTTTAGGGGATTAAGTTGGGTTGGTTAAGTGCTTGCTGATATAGCGGCATGAGGAGTCTTGTAGTTTTTCATACCAAAATATTGAGAATTGCATTTCTATTTTTTATCTTCTTTTCCTTAAGAACCACGTTCCTAATATCTTGGATCTTTCATCCTCGACTCGCCCGAAAACCCACCGGTAAACATGAGGGTCGAGGAGCTTGTCGAGGAGCTGCATTCCACGCATTCGGAGTTGAATTAGCGCTTGGACCAGCTGACGGAGAGCATGCTCTCCATTGACCTTCGCTTGAATTATCATTTTGTCACAATTAAAAAAAATTAGTGACAAAATAAAATTTGGCCACAAATAATATATTATTAGTGACGAATTATTTGTGATAAATATATATTTGTCACTATTAATGAAATTTTAGTTACAAATTATCATTTTGTCACAATTAAAAAAAATTATAGTGAAAAAATAAAATTTGGCCACAAATAATATATTATTAGTGACGAATTATTTGTTATAAATATATTTGTCACTATTAATGAAATTCTAATGATAATTTATCATTTTGTCATAATTAAAAATAATTATAGTGATAAAATAAAATTTGGTCACAGCTAATATATTATTAGTGGCCAATTGTATATTCATCACTAAATTTTGTCACAAATAATCATATTTCTTGTAGTATATATATATATATTGCTGGTGTTAAAGAGGGGTTGGGAGGGGCATTCACCCCAAGTTCATACAAAACTCTGTCATATACCATATTCAAACTTAGAAGAAAAGTAACGTAGCATAAACTCGCTCCCTCAAGCTCGACTTTTAAGATTTTATTCTTATTATTCCTTATGTATGGATAAAACTTATTGAGTTTTCATATCTGGTTATGTATTAGCCTATTACCATGTTATTTTGCCTAAATTAATTTAAATTTTACTTGTTTCGTCTTCTCACACAAAATTTTCAAACTCCATCATTACTAGTGTGACTATGGTAATTCCTTTTAACCTTGTTGCTCACCTTGCAGTTGATAAGTTTATTAGAATTGTGAAATTATTTTTAAGGGATTGGTTGAATAAAAAGAAAGCAATATACTATATATGGTGGAATAGTTTTATGGAAATTTTATTATGCAAATGGAAATTTCATTATGCAATTCTTTCCATTTTTGTTTGCATGTAATTTGAACCTTCTGTAAACCGTTTCAATCGATTATAAATAGTAGGGAGTGGATTGATAAAGATTTCATTTATAAGGACTAATTTAAAAACTTTCTTTTTCAATAGGGACCAAATTAAAAATTACCGTCACGTATATGGACAAAAATTTAATTCAATACAGCTAGTCAAATATTGCCACAATGATTCGTACCGATGTGGACCTAGATCGAATTATTATTATTTTTGGTATATATAGGGATTAAATATAATTTATTTTACAGGGATTAGATAAAAAAATTGATGTGTTTATAACAACCACAATTTCAATTAACCATGCATATTCTTATTATATTATTATAATCGATACGTATGAAAACATTTGGTTCTAAAATTGGATGATTTATTATCTATCGGTGGCAAAGATTTCCATATCAAATTTTAATGTAATTACATTACGAAAGACTTGAACTCAAAATTTATTGGTTAAACTGGAATAATCTCTTACTAATTTCAACATACTATGACATTTGTAGAAATGTTTGTGCTTTGGTTAATTGATTTGATATGGAGTATTTGTTGACACCAATGTTATTAAACCCGAACAGTTATCGACTTGGTTATGGTACCAGGTCAATAGGTCACTAATTCAACTAGTTATTAATTGGACCACATAATTTGTATTATGTAAAAATATATAATAAATATATAGATAGAAGCAGTATGACAATCAAAGTAATTTTGTTTAATGGATAACATGTCACTCCCATTTCTTTAGGTGACAAGTTTGAGTCATGTAACACCTCGTGTATACCCGGTTTGTTATCATGTCATCGTATTAAACTTGCTTAATTGAAAATGCGGAATAAATTTTTTCTTTTCAATTATGACGTCATTATCAATTACCAAGTTGATTACTTAATCTGTTTAAAAACATTGCATGTATGTAATTGCAAATAAACAGCTATCTACATTGAATAACCTCATAATATAAATATGTGAGTATCTAAGTCACGAAACTACAACACGTAGTCTGGACCATAATCCTGATACAATTATACAACTCAATACTAAAATAAAGCATAGTCAATCAATATGGCATGGACAATCCCCATGCTCACCAAATAAGGCAACAAGGCCCAACATAGTCTCAGTTCAATAAGCCATAATAATAACATAAAGCATGTCAGCATCCAATCATAACAGTATAAGCAGCAATGTCTAACTCAGCTCCGACCTCCTGCCGCCCGAGGTCTCAACCCCCGAGTTACCTGAACCTGAAATATGTGCCCCAAACGTGGGGTGAGATCTCTAAACAGAAATTTTAGTAAGACAAGGGGTCCTCAAGGATTTCTCCACCCCAAGCTCACTTACATCTGCAATATAAGTTCTAAAAGCAGTAAATCAGTATAAGTTCCAAAATCAGTGCAATGCAGCAGAATAATCGTCATGTGTGTCAACTATTCTACTGGCCAGAGAAATGCAGAATTTACATACGTCTATTACCTACATTTAGTGCAAGTCACTACTTACACCCACCCACAGAATCACACTATGGCGTGTCTCATACATACACAGGCTTACCGTCTAGGTGGAACAACACATGCATATTATAAGCACTTGCACATAACAGCTCAACAGCATTTCAAAATC